ACCACAGTTGAGAGAGAGAGAGAGAGAGAGAGAGAGAGCGCAGTCCTGCCGCTCAGAGGGCTTCCTCACGCTGCCCCTTCTGTGGTCACACCTTTCCCCGCCGAGCCCCCCGGCAACCGCCACGTTCTCTTTCATTGAAATCATGTCCTGTGAGTGGAATCCTGTGGGATGTTTGCTTTGAGTCTGGCTGCTTTCCCTCGCCACAGTGCTCTTGAGATTGCGCCTGTAAGGGATTTGTCTTTCTTAATTGGTAGGTATTATTCCACTGAATGGATGTACCACAGTCCGTTTATCCCTTCGACATTTGGATTATTGCTAGTCTCTGGCTCTCATGAAGAGAGTTGGTATAAACGTTTGTGTCTAGTGTTTTGTGTGAACACGGTTGTCATTCCCTGGTGGGAGATGGGAGTGATGGCCCGCGTGGGAGGTGCACTCGCGGAGGAGGACTTGCGCACAGACCGCATTTGCAGTTGGCAGAGCTGATGCTGCTCTTCTGCTTTTTAACTCACTTTTTTTTCCCCTATTTTTTTTTTTTACATTTATTCATTTTTGAGAGACAGAGACAGAGCACAAGCAGGAGAGGGGCAGAGAGAGAGGGAGACACAGAATCCGAAGCAGGCTCCAGGCTCCGAACTGTCAGCACAGAGCCCGACGCGGGGCTCGAACTCACGAACGGTGAGATCGTGACCTGAGCTGAAGTCAGATACTCAGTCAACAGAGCCACCCAGGCGCCCCGACTTTTTTTTTTGAGTGAGGAAACACATCTCCCTGGAGCACGTGCTGTTGAAGTTCACTGGGAAATAAAAAAAAGAAATTACTGAGTGATTACTGTGTTCCAGATTTTGCTCAGAGCTTGTGTTCAACAACCATAGGGAGGTATCCTTTTCTCCGCTTTACAGATGGGGGAACTGAGTCTTTTTGGGCACAAGAAGTAGGGTGGCAACCAAGGCGGTCGGAGTCTCAGTCGTGGTGTGCCTCTCCCTTCCTCGCAAAATATTAAAACGCATGTCAGTAAACTGGATAAAAATGATTGGATCTGCTAAAGTGCATCCGAGCTGTGTTTAAGATGCGAGTGTCCCGACGCAGTGCTGTGGGGGAGCAGGCACTGTGCTTGCGGGGGGTGTTTGGGAAGAGCGGGAGGGGCAAGGGACAGGGATAAAGTTACGGCTTTCCAACGTATGACTAAGGTGGGTACACAGTCTCTAGTCTGTTCATCACGAGCAGTACTTTGTACCGAGTTAAAGGTGTCCTGGTTTGTAGTGCATGCTCTAGTTTCTCTGCTGGAGCCAGCACGCTGGCTGTCTTCACGTGTTCAAGTCCGCGTGGGGAGCAGTGCTGACCCTGGGCACACGCTTCTTCAGATGTTTAGAAAGCACCTCTAAACACAAAAACGCCTTTTAAGAAAATGAATGTAGGTATTAAACGAGGCACAACCTGAAAGAAGAAAGATCTGTGGAAAGCACTGAGGTAAGAGGATTAATATTGTGATAGAGGGTATAATTTTAATTATGCGAGGGGTCACTAGTGGTCTGTATTCTCTGCGTTTGACCCACATTGAATGAGAATTAGCTGAGAGTCGTTCTTAAGCGTCTGTTGGTTTCTTATATGGTTCTTTGCATTTTAAGTGAGCTTGATAAATGAAAACATGCTGCAAAGGAAGGTTGTAATTCATTGAAAGATTCATGAAGTTTCAATGACATTGTTAAGGTATTTAATTAGTCTTATTAAAATATACTGACTGACCCTGTTAGGGAAGCTGATAAGTCCTACAATAGCTGTTAGAACCTCTTTCTTTTCCGCATTATACGATTAACTTTGGGCTAAGCAATTTATGCAGAGTGCTCTTTTTTTTTTTTTTTTTTTTTTTTTTTTTTTTTTTTTTTTTTTTTTGTGGTTGAAGTTGTCAGTCCTTCTTGAGTAGGATTAACACAGATAACATCATGTAATTAACAAGAGATGCAGAACATGCCAGAGTGCAGTTTGTGTAAGAATTCTATGAGAAAGAATGATAATGTTTTACCTGAGACTCTTAAAGGGATAGAAAGAAAAGCAAAATAGAGCAATTAGCCGAGAGGATTAAGGTAGCCTTTTCTTTCAAAAGGCAGGAGAATTAGTGCTGAAAGTTCTGTTAAGTGAGGTGTTCGCAGCTCACTAACAGTCTTAAAATAATTGTGCGTTTGGTGGAGGGAATTGGTAATTTATTATCCTTTATACCCGTGAAACGCTACAAGTTCTTCAATGAATGCTCGCATCAGGAGAGCCTCTGAGGTGGTGAATGCCACACTGGAGCCGTGGCTTGCTGAAGACACGCTGGTCCCAGCGGCAGTGTGTGACAGCAGAAAGAGCACTTTATAATCAAAGCGAGAATCTGAAAATGTGCATTTTCGTCCTGAGCTGTGTGGGGGCAGTGTAACTTGGGCCAGTCCGCTTCTGGCTCCGTAAACCTGAGTGTCCTCACCCCTTAAAGGAAAAGTTACTTGTTCTGCCCGTTTCCTGGCACCGTGTTTGCAGAAGATACGACGTTGACTTGGTGAGTCAGGATGCGAATGAGGCTGCACATAACAAAATTCTTTGAACAATGACTTAAACCAAGTGGCGTGTTTTTGCATAAAAACGAACAAGTTCTGGGTTGGGATAGCAGTTCTGTGGTGTTATCAGGGACCTATGTTTTTCCTACTCAAATCGCAGGCCAAAAGAGGAGGAGGGAGGGCAAAAGGTGTGTGCCCACTGAGGCAGCCCCCAGTGAGCCTCCCGAGAGCCCCCGGCCCACTGTGACAAGCTCAGGGTTTTAGGTGGGCAGTGTTGCCCCCGTATCACTCAGGAAGAAGTGAGAATCTAAAGTAGGTAGGCAATGAGCAATCTCTTCCATGTGGCTCAAACTTATGGCCAGAATTTAAGTTGTGTCAGTGTAGGGAAAGGAAGTGCCATCCACGTTCAAAATGGAATCAAAACCAGTGAGGAAAATGGCATTGTGAGCTTGAAGATGCCTGCTGGTTGTTAAATTTCTGTTTCGGAAAGCCAGTACCGGTAACGGTCAGAAGATTTTACGATCTTAAAGCGTTCAAGTTTTAAACTTCACGTAAGCATTCAGGCCCTCAGGTTCTGTTACCCGTCGAGGCAAGTGGAGGGGAGGAGAGGCCCACGTGTCTTCCCCAGATGGTTTCGCCCTTGTGTCCACCAGGATCTGGTCTCTCCAGAGAAGTAACTGTTGTCACTCTGGTTTATTTCATGGACCAGCCGTGGACTTTCTTTTTGAATAATCTGTCTTGCAGTGTCTGCTCCTTTTCTCTAATCTTCCTGCCATCTGGCCCTCACGCAGGCTTTGGCATCTCGGAGGTGGGCTGCTTTCTGGTAGGGTCTGATGCAGGTACCAGTAGAGCTCTCTCTTCCCCGTGCCGGCCTCCTTCAGCCGCACCGCTCAGCGTGTGCTCCTGGTGTCTTTGGGTCCGCACGTGGCCTGCCGTAGTCGGTCATCCCTGGCACTCGCTGCCCTCCACCTGGCTGCCCTAGCTTATCACACCTTGCAGGTGTCACCTATGGTTTCAAGGTTACACCTGCAAAAACCCTCTGTTTCCATTCTTACTCTTTTGGACAAACTGCCAAAGCCAGAAATTTCCCTTGCTTACTCATCTTGAGTCAGCTCTTCCTTCTGCATTGTAGATAGCATCTCTGGTCCTGCTTCCTTTATCAATTTCTCATAGGCTGGTCAGATAAGAACTGCTAATTTCTTTTACCTGTTCAGGCAGCCATGGAATTTCCTTGGCTGTCTGACTTTAGACTTGATTTAGTATTTATTGGTTTTCTTGACTTCCAAAGCACTCACACACTCTCTCACACAATTACATGTACATACGTGATAATAAAACACCGAGACAGACCAAGGGAAGTGAAGTTACTCCCCGCCGTTTCCTGTTCATCATGAGCACAGTGGGTGAGTGGATGTGCTGTGGGGGGGCCGGTGACCCGGGAGTCAGTCCGGCCTCTGCCACTTTCTAACCTTGGACTGTGCACGAGATACTTAAATGCTCGGGATTTCTGTCAGCAGACCCCGTGCCTCGTCACGCGTTACAGGGAGCGAATGAGAAGGTAGAGGAGCTCTGTGAGTCAGCTGGCGGCAGTAGTGTGGGCTGGAGCCTTGGGCCAGCGGGAGCAGAGCCCAAGATGGGGGTTCGGGTGCACGGGCTTAGGTGAGGGTGCCGGGGACGCCAGGTAGGAAGGGGGCGGGACTGGGCTGCAGTGTGCTTTCAGGGAAAGGCTCTTGCCCTGGCCTGACCCGGAGGGGGAGGGCTCTGGAGCAGAAGCCCTACCTCCGAGTCGTCTGCCCTGGGGCAGAGGGCCGTGGGCTGCACGGGCAGGCCTGGAGGGACAGCGCCCATCGGCCAGGACAGCAACGGCCGGGGCCCGTGGCACCCGCACGTAAAAGGTCCTGGTGGCGGCCCCAGAGCGTCCGGCACAGGAGGACCGGCTGGGGTGGGTGACGGACTGAGCGGTCCCGAGCCCTCGGTGGCTCGGCGCTGCAGAGTTCACTTCTCATTCCCCTTGCCCCCGGGGCTGCCTCCTCTGGGCCCCGCAAGACCCCCTCGTCAGGTGGGGAGAGGGCGAACCGGGAGTTAATCCTGTGTAACTGGCCGGGTCTGGGACTGGCCTGCTTCACTTCCGGTCACGTGCCGTTTGCTGAACCTTGGTCACGCCGCCAGCCTCACTGCCTTGCAGGACCGACTGTGAAATGTAGTCTGACTGGTGCTCGGGAACATGTGGGCATGGACGGTGGACATCAGCGGTCTGTCGTCATTGGGGCAGGAGGTGGCTCATGTTTATATAAAGCCAAACACCATCATAACTACGGGGTTAGGTTTCATGTTTCACTAGCATCCATGGTCCTGCAACATTACCAAGATAATAAGATAATTACACTCAATTTTTGTTTTGGTTTCTGTCCTTCTCTTCAGAGCTTAGGCAGATTTGGGATATGGACCTAGCCACACTTCAAGTTCTGGACAATGTCATTTATTTTTATAGTATATAGTCTTTGGTTTACATTGTTTATATTTTACAAATGACTCTGGATTTTTTCCTATCCGCATTTTGCTTCTGCACTCGCCTCTGCCATGTCTTGCTGTTCCATGAGCATTTCCTGCTTACGTACAGTTCCGACTTGTTGATCTGTTTACTTTAGGATGGACCCTGGAAAAATGCCTTGTTGTCGTGTGTGTGGTGCGCGACTGTTGCTAAGTGCTACTTTGCAATAACGAAACGCAAAAACGAGCAGAAGCGAAGCAGGACCCCCCCCCCCC